CAGCATCAACGAAATTATGGTGATTCTATTCAATATATCACACATATACGGACGTCGTTATAATCAATTGTATGGCGGCACATTTCAAGCGTAATTTCCTATCAACAAAAGGTAAGTACTCGCCGCCGCGACGCTGCCGCCGTACAGCTTTGTATGTGTCTATATATAATATATTAGTACATGTGCAACAATATTCTAACTGACAGACGACCCGAAAATGTCAGTTATCAGAAGTATAAGTAGGCGATTGTAATCGAAAGCCACATTTGTCATAACACATATTACTAAACAAAGACACGGCGGCGGCGTCGTGGAGCCGAATATTATACAGATTACCGATGAATGTGTTAAAAGCATCCAAAAATAATAACTTTCGTAAAAAAAATGTCGAAAACACAGTAAGCCAATTTGGCCTTATGAAAATGGGTGTTTTAATTGGCGTTCTCTGGAAATATAGAAAACTAAAATTAAATGTCGATTATAGATTATCATAAATAATTCAATAATATCTGTATAAAACAATTAATGTGAATTTTAATCATACAAGTATGATATTATATGATAATTTAACAAATTTAGCTATTAAATAGAAAATAATGAAGTGTTAAAAATTGCATCGATTGAAACATAGAAAAAATCTAAATATGTTAAATGTACCTATGCTTTTAAATTTTTATCAAACCAGTATTTAAAAAAAAAATCCAGACACAGATATCAAAAATTAGGAAAACAATCACTTTGACTCACGAGATCGAAGACTACCAGAGTACAAGACGAGACTCAGACTCAGCTGATCGAATAATACATTAATTGTAACAACACATCTCTTATCAAACGTTACTACCTACAACATATTACTATATTATACAAAGCTGGTAGGTAGTGCCAGTGCTCGAATTGGAGGGATTCGCAGGGAGACGGAGCTCCCCTACTATTTTTATTTATTTTTTGCGTACCCCAGCTTTTTTTTTTTACTTGGACGGGGAGACGGTACAAACTAATGCCCAAAATAATTTTTATTAAAATTTGGAGTGGATCTAAATTGTTGTCAAAGATAAACCTAACGAATTTACATTTTTTAATATGAAATATTTTTCATCCTATCTATGGTTTGGACTTAAAGTGTTCAACCTTTTTGACTAGCGATCCACTGATTTTGTTACAGTATTTTCACGACTCAGTTTATCTTTGACAACAATTTAGATCCATTCCAAATTTAAATAAAAATTATTTTGGTTATTAGTTTGTAAATATCTGTAGACTAGTGTTCAAAATTGACACGGATATGCGTCTGAAGCACAAATTATAATTATTAAGATATTATAACTGATAATTATAATTTTTGTATTTCCTACCGAAAATGTAGGTATTATTTCTGTCAATAGAAATTTCAAAAAATAAGGAGAATATAAAATATAAATCCATATTCACTTACATGTTACATAGGCACATATTATAATTAATATGTTATGTTTGGAAATTCGGAATAGAATAAAGTTAAAATTCTGTAACTAAGGTGAAATGTAGTAGTAAAAAATTAGGAATTGGTTAAGGGGGGTGTGGGGTGCTCTAAGCTCCCCCTACGAGTCTGCGTCGAGTAATTTTGCGCTTGGAACGCAGTTTATAAATTATTGGATTGAGCTCCTCTACTTAATAATTCCCAATTCGAGCACTTGTAAGCCTCATCATGATCGCCTAACCGGCCTTCGAGATGGATTAATAGTGTAACCAATATTATATAAAATTATAATGACGCATATCTGAACCAAAAAAATATAATATAAAAATATTATGTAAATTATTTTTCAACAAATAAATAAACTGCGTTGTATAATATAATATCACATGAAGCACTATAGGAAAACAGACCTCGACCATAACTCGCGGTACAGGTTACCTGTATACAATGGTACCTAATAATAATGGGTACCATCTCATTTAACCTCCGCCGACAACTTGTAAATTATTATTCACCGTACGGGTGCCTTATATACGTCTACAGGTATATCGCGGCACCGTGGATTTCGAGGGGTTGTAACTCGGGCGCCCGCTCTCAAGTATACGGAGTTATTATAATAATAATATTATACACATTGTAATGGAAATTTTATGTTGTCCATTACGTCGTTTAAATAACGTAACAATATTTCAATACACCACGACGGTCTTGAAGTACCTATATATATAATATAAATATACACACACCTCACAGTGTAATCGCATACAGATTGTTACAAGAAACGGTTATAATTATAACTTAAGTATGCGTACTATAAGATACACGTCGACAAGCAACTAACATACAAACTTTATGGCACTCATAAGGCTTGTAGGGAAATGTTCTCAAACTACCTGAAGACACACATTTTATAATTGTATTGATATTGAAATTTGGTTGACTTGTAAAATAGTTCTAAAAGCGATTCATTTATTTTTATGATATCTGAAGAAACATTTTTGATGCATAAACTTTTCTCGGTAGTTAGACATAATCATAAGGTCGTCTACGCCTGTTGAGTAAATTAATATTCGATGTACGGCTGATTCTTAGTCTTGATAACATTAGTAAGTTGATGTTGGAATGGATGTGGAATGGAATCGGTTCTCTTGGTAATCATTAAATACTTAATTGTGATTGGTACCAATATATTAAAACACTGATAAATAGACAAGTAAGGATATTCCATAGCCCAGTACTTCTAGCGGGCTTGGAATCAAAGAGTTCTATGTGACAATAACAACATTGTAAAGTAGTGTTTTTAAGATTCAAAAATTAAAATAACATATTTTTGCCTAAGTGATTTTCAAATATTTGGCATAAAAAAATCCATAAACTTCCGTTCTATCAATTTATTAATAATTATTGCAAAAATAAATCTTTTTAAGTACTCAAAATATTTAATAACTTTAAAATTCCTTGTTTGGAAACAAAAGGTTCTATCGATAGGTTCATATTGCTTATAAATTAATTGATTTGTTCTAACTTAATTTTAACTATGTGCTTTTTTTTTGTGCATTATTATAGGTATTTACCTGATTATCTATTGTTATTTCGGTATTTTAGTGAATTTTTTTTATAAATAGCAACAAATAAAGTTTATTAGATAACAATTTTTGATTTAAATATAAATTTAAAAACAAAATGTTGTATCGATATATCCACACATTGTTTGGATAAGGGTCACTATAACCTTTTTTTTTCTGGTAACTTTATAAATATGGGATCGACAATATTTTTTCTATGACTCAAAAATAGAGTAAAATAATTACTGACTGAACAGATATAAAAACTATTTTTGAAGTTTTTGATATAGAATACTTTGATTACCGTGACTTGTAATATTTTCATGGTCTAGAACAGAGGTTCCCAAACTTTTCCTACTCGTGGCGCCCTTTTAGAACTGAAGTTTGCTCATGACGCCCTTAATAAAATTTACGAACTTTTTTTTTTTTTAGATAAAATAATAAACATGTATAATTTCAATAGATAACATGGAAATATTTATTTTATTGTAATTATACACTGAAATATTTAATTTTAATTTTATTGGGGCGTAAAGTAAATTAGACATAGTTTATTTGTAGAAAACAATTGAATTAGTGAGATGGATGAGCCTGGACATCACTGCATAGTTTTTCAAATCTTGGGATCAAACTTGATACCACTACTCTCATTTCCTTCTCCACATTGATTTTTGACCGATATTTTACTTTTAATCACAGCGACCGCCGAAAACCCAGCTTCACATAAATATGAAGTAGAAAACGGAATTAAAATACGTAGAGCTTTTTCACATATAAGGGGATATTCATTTTTTTTATTGAAATCCAAAATTTGGTCAATTCCATATTGGTAAATTTTGATTTCAAACTACTGTCGCAAGACAACTCAATTAGACTTTCTTCTTCAGTAGAAATAAATTCTGAACAATGGAGTTAAATAGATTTTGAATCCATGCAAATTTATCAGTGTCTTCATTTTTTAAATATTTCTCAAACCATAGCACTAGCTGTGGTAAATGATCTTCAAAAATGGATTTCATATCTTGAGAAATCTCAACTCTATTAGAGGTCAGAAACTGCTGCAATATGGAAAAAGAATCTTTGTTTGTGCCTTCATTCATTTATCTTCTCCATAGCTTGAGTTTTTTTTATAAAAGCTGTCATTTTATCCATCGACTTCAAAATGTGCGTATTATTTCCCTGCAACGAGGTGTTCATTGTATTCAGCTTTTCAAAAATGTCACACAACTATGCCAATTTTATTAAAAAAATTTTGTCAGAAAATTCATCGGCATATTTTTGCCCTTCTTCTTTAAAGAATATATAAATTTCTTGCCGTAGTTCAAACGTACGTGATAAAACATTACCACGAGAGAGCCACCGTGCGCTGCTGTAGTACAACAAACTTGAGTGTTCAGCTCCCTATCGTCACATAATTTTTTGAAAAATCTTGCTTTCAGTGGACGAGTTTTTATAAAATTGACTACATTGACTACACATTCTAATACTTGGTTCAGCGCTGGACTCAAGTGCCGCAAGTGCTTCTTTATGGATAATGCAATGGGTCCACAGTGCATCAGGGGCTTTGCTTCTAATAAGTGACTGTAATCCTAAATAACTGCCAGACATGGAACGAGCACCGTCAGTACAAACACCGACGCATTTAGTCCAATCCAACATATTATTTTCTGACATAAAATTATTAAGAATATCAAATAAGTCCTGAGTCTTAGCGCTTGCTGTAGTATTTTTACAAAATAGTAGGTCTTCTACCATGTCCTCACCATCTATAAACCTATAACATAGCATATCAAATGAGCATCCTTATTAGTATCCGTAGCCTCGTCCAGCTGCAACCCAAATTCCTTTTCTTTGATTTGACACCAAAAAAAGGTTTGTGGACAACATAATATAAGAATTAGATGGATTCAAAGACAAAATGCAATTAATAATTGCACATCGTGAAGCTATTTTAACGCTCAAAGAGATGAACGACCATGTTATGTTATAATCGTTATGTTATCGTCGAGGGCCGTTATAAATGGTGGCGACAAGGAGTGATTTGGGGATATTTATTAAAAGATATTAAAACAGAAATAACCCGAGGTTCTAGAGTCACTTACGTTTACTTAAACAAAAAGGGTGCAACTTTATCGTGCAGCGAAGTAAACTGTCCAAAACGGTTCCATCTTTCTTGTGGATTGAAAAATGGGTGTATGCGTTAATGTTTTCAAACATTTAACTTGTTTTGCCGACACCGTCGCTTTCGGCCTGTTATAAATGTAACGGCGTCACATGCATTCGATTCTACTAATATAAAATGTGCTATTTGTAATGATAATGTTGTACCATCGTTTTCACCGACTTCCATTTGGGTACCAGTGTGGCAGCATTAATGGTTGGTTTCACAAAGACTGTGTTCGAGATCTGGCAATGCGTAAAGGCTACTTTATGGAATGCAAAAAACGCAGAAATGTTGATAAATTCAAGAGTAGAATCCTAACTCTTGGAATATATATACCATCAAGATACGCCGTTTGGCAAAACAGAAGGTCTGTACAAAACAATTTATAAAACGGTTTTGAAGAGTTCTCTGAAAAGACTATGCAATGCGGTGCCAAACGCTGTCTCTGTCCTCGCGAAGGGAAACGAAATTTTCAAAATTAAGTCGGATGGCAGTTAGTTCCGTGCAGAACATGTGGGTTTGGACAAAATCAAGTATATGGCAATTCCATAAGGTTTGATATGAAATGGGACTGCGCAGAATGCCAGACGATGATGGCAAATATTCCAGCGAGACGCTTAGAACCTCCAATTGTAGGGAATTCTGTAGGTATTTCAGCAGTTATGGATTTCGGTTGTTGGAAATGTTCAATATCGTCCAAAAACTCTTTGAAACACTTAAACTGAATTTAAAGGCTACTTTATGGAATGCCCAAAATGTTTTGTTATAATTTTGTAATTGTTGTTATTTTGTCTTGAATATTTTGTGTACATTGCTGTTTTACTCCATACGTTCAATTCATCGGAAATCGTTCAGCTAAAACTTGCACCGGGTATTTGTTGGAAAAATGAAGAAGTAAATAACAATTGTGTAGTCTGCAGAGCAAGAGGTGTTTCCTGGCAATCATCTGATCAAGAAATAGCCAAGTTCTTTTGTGGTCTTAATATATCCAAAGGTGGTGTAGAATTGTGTTTAAGTGCGCATGGTCGTCGTATCGGTGAAGGAGTTGTACGTTTTGTGAACCAAGAATACAGAGACATGGCTATGAAAAGACATAAGCACTATATTGGTAGGCGTTATATTGAAGTATATAAAGCTAATGGCGAAGACTTCATAAATGTTGCTGGGGGTAATTGTAGTGAAGCCCAAACGTTCCTCACCAAAAGTGCCCAAGTAATTGTGAACATGAAGAGTTTACCTTATGATTGTTCAGCTAAAGATGTCTATACTTTCTTTGAACATTTTGAGCAAACTTGTATGTTCTATTTTAAGATGAAGATGATGACCCTAAAGCACTTGGTAAGCACAGAGACCTAATGGGCACGAGGTACATTAAATTATTTAGAAGTACAACAGGTTTTTAGTCGTGAAATGGATCCATCTGTGGGATAAACAGCTAGTGATAGCAATGGCAACTTTACCACCCCAGTAACAACAACTCTGGTGTGAATAATTCACCTATTGTACTTCTTGGACATGTTCCGCTTCTGCCATGGCCTCAGCACGGTATCACTTGTGGCATATGAAAATACTGTATACGCTTACGTGGACTTCCATATGAAGCAAATATAGAACATTTACTTCATTTCCTCGGAGAACATTCCAAAAATATTGTATGTCAAGGTGTACATATGGTTTATAACTCTGTGGGTCATGCATCTTTTGAAGCATTCATTCGAATGAACAACGAGGGCAGTGCTGCTTCAGACAACCCCAGAAAGAAAATTCATAAATAGGTGTACGTGAAAAGCCTTTAGAGCTTGAAAATAATAATGAAAATCCAAGATATGGAAGTGTACCTTATTGGTATAGTTGAAATTGCTATGAAATAAATTAATTTTAGTTGGTACTCTCAAGTAAACACGTTGATTGACACAACTAAATACATCGTTATGCCATTTCAACGATGAACATTGTGTACAACTTTTCGGTGTGGTGTTACAACAACCTGAATAGATAATAATTGATACTTTGACAGTATAAAACCGAGAGACTATTTCATGTATTCAAATATATTATTATACATTCCGAACGGCTGTTGAGCTTATATCCTTCTCTTTCTCTCGTAGACGTTATAATAATATACCTGCCTATACATATTATATTATATAAGCACACGTACTATCAGATGTACAAAGAACATATTATATCTACAGCCCACATATATAATACTCACAATATATTATATTATATTATACTTAAACAAATTCCATTTACGGAACAATTTTTCTTCTTTTTCTTCTTTTTCTTCTTATTATTTTTTTTTCATTATAATTAAATCGCCCAAAATAAAATATATATATATTATACTACAACACACGTACGATGGGTACAAACGTAAAGTCGCCAAACGGGTTTCCGCATCGTGTTTGATTTGATGTTATCGATTCGGACGTTTTCATTTTTATAATGTGTATAATATACTATATTACCTTCATCTTGGAAATCGACACTCCTCTGTTCCTATCGCTCGGCTCCCGTTTATTGTACGCGCGCGTTCGCCGACCGAAACGCGGTTAGCGCACGTTAAAGTCTCCACACGTACGCTGTATTATAATATTATATAGGTACCTATTACTGCGCCGGATGCGTATAATAATAATAATATATAATATTAAAATACCGTCTCCATCACTGCCATAATGGCGTTGGATTCATTTTTCGTCTATAATTTTTTTTTATTATCATTTATTTTTTTTTTTTTTGAAAAGCCGCCGACACCTCGGGCCCGACGTCGCAATCGCGTGTGATAATTATTAATGTTTACTCTTTTCGACGACGGTATATTATATACCGGTTAGTCTTTGGATCGTGAATGTGATTCACGCGTTTCCTTCCGACGATCATCGCGGTCAAGACAGGCGTAAGTGTCCATTATTGCTCGCAATGGATTTTTTCGGACCCAGAAATCAACTGTGGAAGGAAAAACAATTGATAACGATACGAACCCATTAACGTGTCTTGTGTTTGGTAATTTGACAGAAATACGCATAGGCATGATAGGCATAGACATAGTTACTGCGAATATAATAAAATATTTTTCCTGCATATTGTATAGGTACATGAATATTTAATAATTTATATATAATATTTTATATTTTATAAATGACTGTGTAACATATACACCCACCCCTAATGCACTTGTAAGTTGTTTTCACTCTAAACCTAACTAGTCTATATATCCAGCATATTACTGCTGATAAGAACATATATGTATATAAGCATACTGTACAAATTATGTACCTACCATATATACATATACATATAGCACACAATTATTATGGTTATAAAATTATAATATTTTTTTATAATCCGTTATAGGTAGTTATATTATAATATTATTATAACGCGTGCGCAAAGTATATAACTTAATAAACAACTTTGAGCGTTTTTGGAAATTTACCAACGATTTCTGACAAAACCATGATTTATCTACGTTAATGAATTATGGTAATAAAGTTCAGGCAATAGTCACACGACATATTGTTAAACTCCGGCGGATAACAATCTAAAAGTTTCAGAAACGTGTCGCGCTCGGTTTTATTACGAATAAAAAACGTCAGTCGTAGTGGGTCGGTGGACAATATGTTGTATATTATATTTTGATGTTAAAAAGAGAATGGCAGCAGTGTGAGTACACAAGTAGGTATATGCCTGTATAACTCTGTTCCGCTTACATACCTAGTACATTTAATATAATATAATACTTGACGTTTGAGAACCATTTAGCGTTATCTAGAGGTCACCGCGGGGAGGCGGTTCTCATTAACCTCAACGATGTTTTTTTTCCCCACTCACGCATAGTTACTAATAAATATATCAATTAATAAATAAATTATAGCATACGCTCATCTAACTATATATACGTACAATGTACATATAATATGTATATAACTTTCGTATTATATTACGTTCTGGGAAGCTGATTGGCGTTTACGTAGACAACGTACGCCCATTATCGTATACTGATCATATTATTATTAAAAAAATGTGCATACATTGTATACGATATGACAACAATGCACCACGTTTAATATTGACGTACCTATATAATATTATTATGACGTTGTTTAAATATCCTGTAATTTTTCGGTGTATATTTTTTATTAAAATTGTATTTATAATTTAGTTTATAATACTCGGGGAATAGATTATAACGTCCGGTCCAACTGTACCTACATAGTCATTGGTTTTCACTGTTTTTATATAAAAATCAAAACCATTCTTCTATCATCACGAATATGGACCATTATTACATCAAAGTAAAAAAAAATGCCGTAGTATCTAGAAACAGCATATAAAAGAAATAGGAGAAAAAATTATACTACTTAGTTAAATGAAACTAAAAGATAGTAAGTCAAACTACTGAATAGTCAATGATAGAATATATATATAGGCACATACAACAAATCCTTAATACTTAATACAGCAATTGGTTGTGTTGAAGCAATCCTTTTGTGCTCTAAAGTCAAATGATGAATATTTTTACTTAGAATATTAACTCTAACCTCTGTACCTTATGAGAGTTCTAGTTTTAATTTACGACACTGGAATACTTTCATTTGATTTTTTTTTTTTTTTTTGCTGGGAAATTTTTGAAATACCAGGATAATTTTAAGTGGTTGGCACTGTAGCTATTGTGGTTTTTTGCTTCTTAAATAAATCACACGTCTTGTAAGTTTCTTCGTGGCATATTCGACACTGAACTCAGATTCTGATGGTGTTGGTTTAATAATGATGCCAGTCAGTATATCCCTCACGGTATATGTTATTATGATGTTATTATCATAATAATCGTTTTGGCATATTTTTTTCGTCAAAAAGTTCGTAGCCGAAAGATGGCACTTGTAAGAGAAAAAAAACGAAGCGCTGTACCGTATTTCGACGATGACGTGCTTCGGACATAATGCTTATAAGTTATAATATACCGCTATATATACACTATGCACACGCACATCATATATATATATATATATATATACACGTCCGCCGCGGGACTCC